CTAGAAAACGTCCATGAAGGAACAGCAAAGATTTTCAAGCTTGTTTATCGGCACAATCAATTTGTTTTCCCATCAAGGTCTGTTTTAACATGTGTAGAGGACATCCAGATGTGTAAGGCTATTGGAAACCAAAAAAATAAAGGAATGGGATAGCTAGTATAATTGGATAAATTCGGCATATGAAAACACCAAAATCAATGATTTTTTTCAGTGGCTGTGTGACCATGTGACTGACACATTCATATGCAAATGACTAATCTGTGAAACAAATAGGGGCGGAGACAAACCACTAAAATGTTTGGAAACACTAATTGTGTGTCAGATAGCTACTGATAACACATCCTAACATTGCTTTGTCTTGAGTTTCTTTGAAACTTATAGGCACACAGATTAAACCTGTGTTGTTGATTTTGGAAAACACTACTGAGGCTGCCTTGCTTCCCTTCAGATAATCTACATTTTAACCAACTTACATGACATTCTATGTTATGTTGACTTTATCACATGAAAGTTTATAGTGCATTTCATCAATTAATAAATAAATGTGAAAATCGTAATTTTCAACACAAATAATAGTCTCGCTACCTTAAACAAACATTGCTATTACAAAACTGGTAGGAGGTAATTAATTTGGGGCGAAAGTATTCAAAAATCGGTTTTTGGCTGTTGCAATGGCAGTGGTGGGCCAGGATCGCCAATATCTTGAACAAGTTTTTTGCTGTCCAAAAAAACAGTTTTTTGCTATGGCAATGGTGGGCCAAATTTTTCCTAATAACTAGGGTGAGATTTGGCCTACCAAGTTTGAGTGAAATCAGCCAAGCGAAAAAAATCACAGAAGAAATAATACACACACACACACACACACACACACACATACGTACATGTCTTACTATCGTTGTGACGCCACACATTGGATTAACTTTTAATATAGTTGAATTAACTTTTAATATAGTTGCGATATGAACTCGATTAAAACGCGTTCCTATATAGGGTTGCGTTTTAATTGGAGTTTAATTAAACTCAATTACAATGCAATACAATGGAGAATTGCACTTTAATTAAGTTTAATTAAACTAGAGTTCAATATCCCGTGACTGAACATAGAAATGTTTGCGAAGCAAACCTGACTTAAATTCGATTAAATATTAATATAAATTATGAAACAAAGTGAAGGGGTCTCACTATTCACCAATGGGCTCACTTTGTGAGTGTGCGTCCATGGATTTGGCGTCACTTGGTTAGGTAGACATGACCACACACACACATAAACCCACAAAAGTGATTATAAGGGCAATGCTTGCGGAGCGGATCACCAAAAATAAACCAATCTAACAGCGGTCCACTCAAGGTACATATCAAGTATCAAAGCAATTTAGCTGGTAGTATTTTTTACCAAAAACAACAATAATATTTAAATAATTTAAAATAATTATTACCATGTCTGTTCAGTTGATTAGAACATATGGCTATGCTTCTCAAAATCT